GGGTAAGCCATGACTGATTTGTGCACTTAGGCCTGGCCTAGTAATTGAGAGCTCTTGCACCCAGTTCACCATATCTCCTAATAGCACTGCACCATCACCATCTTCAAGTTTAAAGTATTCCATTTGATTCAACTTACAATGAATTATCATTTTTTCCTAAAAAATTGACCCTTCTAAATACATTCTTCAATTCCAAAAGATGTATCACAATAGCAAAAACTTTAGCTTTGTGTTAGCTATGTTGATTTACAATAGTCAGATTTTGGATCAATGTTACCAATATTAGGAACTATAGTAGTTTTGTAAGGAATAATTACGTTGTTGTTTTTTTGTCAGTGTATTCCCAGTGGCAGAGGCATGCCTCTTCTCATCTGCATATATCTCAAACTTTGAGACTAATAAAAGACTGAGGAGCACCAAAATATTTGATTCTCCTTTGACCTGGGACCAAGATCTGTAGTTAAGAGATTTTTGTGGATTTATGATGTAAGCCCCTACTTGAGAAAAATAAAATATTTTAAAATAGAATTAAAGTATTTTAGCAATATTAAAATAGAGCTCATAGGTTGGATACATGTTGGTTGAAAGGACAGATAGCACTGGCTGGCTCAAAATCCAGGGAAGAAAACAGAAAAGACTAGAAGGTGAGGGAGCTGAAGCACCTGACCTGTATGCAGGTGCTGATCTAGGCCTGGAGGACAGAAGGAGCCTACACAGGAGGGTCCCTGGCCTGGAACAGAAGATCCAAACTGTATCTTCTTCCCTTCCTTTGGGATGGTAGGAGAAAAAGTAAGACAAGTCGCCCTCCCACTTGCTCAGTGATCGTATCTGCAATGTCGTTCAACTCCTGGGGGACAGAAAAGCTGGGGAATCCTGAAGCCCGATTATGGCAAAGGCTATTCTTCCAAAAACAGAATGCAGAAAGAAAGAAAGAAAGAAAGAAAGAAAGAAAGAAAGAAAGAAAGAAAGAAAGAAAGAAAGAAAGAAAGAGAAGAAAGCAAGTTCCTCCCATTAAAGACAGCAAAATAAACTAAATTCTAAATCACACAAAGAAAGAAACCAAATATTAAGTAAGTAAAATAAACTCAGTGAGAGAATAATTCACATTGTTGCAGTACAAATTTAAAGTTACTTTGCAGTGTTACTTGTCAAGGAAAAAGAGAACAGAATAATATTCACAAAAAGTAAAAATAATAGCCACATATGAATAGCCAGGTTATTTAACCAGATATTTCAGCTACAAATAAAGTGAAACTGCTGAAAAAATGATTATGAACAATTCTAAAATAAAAAATACATGCTGATACAAATATGACATGAAAAATTAACATATAGCATAACAACAGGTGTAGTCCTAACAGTGAACTACAAAACAATTTTCAGTAGCTTATGCAGAATGCAGCAAATCTGAAAGACAAACTACAAGACATATAAGGTAAATTACAAAGTCTTAACAGCTATTCCTCAAGAGTAAAAAATAAAAGTAGTGAGAGGGATCAATATTTACAAGAATAATGAGTGACATGTTTCCATAATTGACCAAAGCATAAATTCTTATACTGAAAGCATATTGTTTTTCTAACAGAATAAAGAATACATCATGTAATGATTCATAGAAGTACTGAGCTTAATGCAATGCTTGCATCTTGGGAGACAATTCTACGAAAGCACATTCACGTAAAGACATACAGATGGGTCTGTATGGTCTGACAACCATCCTCTCACTGTCACGATGTGCCACCATTTTATCAGTAGTTTAATTCCACTCACAACCATACTTTTTCCTCACTAAAAGTGTGTTAATTCTGTCTCTGCATGAAGACTATAAATTCATGTGTGAAAGGATTATCACTCAAGATCATCCACTATTGTTAGGCCACTTACTTATGGACAAAGCTGGGCTTTGAGACCAAGACTTGGGGTCCTGGGAAGTCATTCATTATCTGCACAGCATTATGCAAATTAACTGAACTATACCAAATTCAGTTCTTCTCAACTGTGAAAATGGGGTGTCATAAAATACTTTCCTCAGAATTGTTTTAAAATCACATGAGACAATATAAAAGAAGTCCTAACACAGTAGCTGGGAACTAGACAGAATTGAACAATAGGAATTTTTTTAAAACTAGGAATTAAATACATAAACTCACAACAGGAATTCAAATAAATCATGTTCTATTTCATATATATATATACACACACACACACATTTTATTTAGGAAGGGTCTTCAGGGTGTTCAGGGTCTCACTACTAGACTGGACTTGTAGTGATCTGCCTGTTTACAGTCTCCAAAGAGTTGGGATTACAGGTGTGCACCACCATGCCCAGTCTCAATTGCCATCTCAGTGCACCCCAGTGGCAGGGCTGGCACAGCAGGCTCGGGGATCGAACCCCTGGCCCCTGAGCCTGCTTGTAGGCACTTTAATCCGCTGAGCTATTTCGCTGGCCTATGTTCTATTTTCTGCTTGTTTCTTTCGATTCCCTAAAAACTGATACGCTTCTAAAATGAAGCCAGTTATACAAACTTGAAATATTCTAATACCTCCAGATGTAGCATATAGGAAATAACAAAGAGCATAATTAAAAGGCAAGAGAAGTTGCTGTATGCTCCTCGATGAACAATAAAAAGCTCTCAAAATGATAGTTATGTAGGATTATATAAAATATATTAGATGAACCCTTATTTAAAAGGTCATTGCAGATTTCTATGAAACAGTACCAATCTTATGTTGGGTATTTTTTTTTCATATATATATGTGTGTGTATGTGTGAATAAAAGACAGGGAAGAATATAAAGTCAATGGAAAATGGAAAAATACTTTTTAAAGTTTCTAATACTAGGAGAAAATATCAACCATGTCTTTTAAATAAATCGTAAGTCAAAGATATAGCATAAATCTTAAAACAAAAATTAAGATTAAGCAATATTCAGAAAATTAAATACTAACTAAAAATTAAATGTTTCAGAACAACTGAACTAAGATAAAGTTTTCATGACAATAAAGAAGTACTAAGAATAGAATATAAGATAAATACTGGAATGGCAAATAAATGACCAGCACTTCTAACAGTCTGGGGATATGATATCACACAAAATTCTAGTGTGTTGTGGACATGGATAATGGAAAATATTTTACTTTTAGTTTTCAAAGGTATGTTTGCTAAGTATAAAATTCAGAGAGGACAGACTATTTTTTTCTTTCTTTCAGTCCTTTAATTAGTCTAGTTTCTTACACACTTGGTCTTTTTTTTTCCTTCTAATGTGGAATAGGATGCTATTTAATTTTGTTCTTCCATAGCTAATATTTTTATGTGTATGCTTTAATGATTTTTTCTTTACAATATGTTTTGGACAATTTCATTTTTGTGTATCTTGGTATGATTTTATTCAAATTTTTTGTGCAAAAGGTTCATTTTTCTTGGAAATGTGGTGTGATAAGGTCAACTAAATTCAGAAATTTTAAATCTTTAAATATTTATTGCCTACCCCTTTTTACTTTGAGAATTCTAATTATATGAATATAAGTTTCTTGATTTTGACACAGAGTGAACTATTATATGACTGATCTGTGATTTCTTTCTTCTTCATTTTTATTTTACAGTTATATTCATTTTAAGTTTGTAAATAATTTATTTACAGTGTGCAATCTTTTTTTTTTTTTTTCAGAACTGGGGATTGAACTCAGGCCCTTGCACTTGCCAGGGAAGTGCTTATTCCACTGAGCCATTTCCCGGCCGTACTGTGCAATCTATTAATCTCATGTGATATATTCATTTCAGAAATATTTCTCTAAAAATCACTCTTCTACATCTTATATCTTTCACATTTCAATATTTGTCTGCAATTTTTAATATACGTAATTACTAATTTTCAATAAAGTTAATGAAAAAGGGCCGGGGAGATGGCTCAGTGGAATAAGCGCTTCCCTGGCAAGCGCAAGGACCTGAGTGCAATCCCCGGTAAAAAAAAAAAAAAAAAAAAAAAAAGTTAATGAAAAGGAAAATTTAAAATTAAATGAAGCCAGTAAGATTCTCAAGAATAAATTTAAATTACAAATCAGTATTTTCTGACTTAGCAGTCATTTCAACAGGAAATTATCTGAAGGGAAAAGTAAGAGACTCCTGTACAACTCTTTGCAGTGTTACTTGTTAAGGTAAAAAGAATAAGTAATAACTTACATATCTAACGACAGAGAAAACTTTAAATCAGTCACTGATCAATAAGTTGAGGCAGTGCTGTAAAGCCATTAAAATTTTTGTGGTACAAAGATAATAATATGAATATTTTACTGTTTAAAGAAAGAATACAGGCTCCAGAATTCATAAAATGTAGTTTTGCTTTAAAATATATATTCATTTATAAGAGATACTAAAAGATGACATTAAAATATTAGACTTGATTAATTTCTATATTGTGTACCTTTGTCCTAAAATTCCTAAAATAAATGTACTATTAAAAATCCAAATAGAACAACTGGAAAAATAGCTCAGCAGCACAGTACCTGCCTGGTAAACATAAGGTCCTGAGTTAGATTCCGGGAACAAAAAAGAAAATCCAAATAGAATCTATAAGAACATGTATATGCTGTGACATTATAACCAGAGAAAATGATACCAACAAAAAATATAGTCAAGTGGTCGGGGAGGTGGCTCAGTGGAATAAGTGCTTCCCTAGCAAGAGCAAGGGCCTGAGTTCAATCCCCAGTTCTGAAAAAAAAAAAAAAAATCCCATTACTAATCATCTAATAAAGTTTACTGTGTAAAGTTTACCTTTTTGTTCTGACTCATGTCATTTCAAAAATGCTGCTGGTCACTGCTGCAATAGCAGAAGACAACTCAGCATGTTAAATTCACTTTCCATGTGAGCAACCCACTACCTCCCAACCACACTAGAGAACTGAAATGAGTTAGTTTTTCTACCTTAGACACTACTGCACTGTAAAACTGTTCAGTCTTGAGTTAATGTTTAGATTTTGGAACTCAAGCTTTGTTTGGTTACCTGGCTTTTTCTGTGCCTCCCATGCTGTGGTGGATTTCAATGAATTCCATTAGCTGTTTTTGTAACATCACTTCTTTTCCTTCAATCTGAGTAATAAATTTATGCTGTAAAAGATCTGACACTGTTGGACGCTTTTCATAATCTTTAGTCAAACATCTGCACTGGCAAGAAAGAACACGTGATTATTAGATAAGTTAGAGGATTGAAACTATCATTCATATTCCTAAAAAAACTACTTTACTCTAAGCAAGTGACACTTATAAATGCTCAGCATGAGCACAGTGCAAAATGTATGAGACGGTAAGATGAAGAACAAAGTCTATGAAATGCACACATCTCTCTGGGAAGCTCCTGCAGTGGCAACAGCTTTCAACTCAGTGCTGCTCCCTCCGTCTCCAGCAAGCATCCTGCACAGCATTAACAAAACTGTCCCTGTGGTAAAGTGCCCTGGGAAGTCAGAAGCTAAAGAGAGATGACAATAAAGCCATCATCATCTTAAGACTCATCCGAAATTAAACTGTCCATTTACTTTCAGGATGCCTTTGAAGATGTCTCAGTGGATCTATTTCTTTCTGGAGATATAAATGTTAAGCCATTTGAGAAGGCCAATCTTCTGTGGATGTTTAAATTCTATGTCAGTAGGTGTTTTTAAGGTCATACAGCCAATACATTGATGTAATCACAGCTGTTGAAGGGTTCAACTGCAGCATAATCACGAGAAAAATGAAAGCCAGTGTGACCAACTGGGAGGACCACACAGGAGGAGCATTTGAATCTTAGGGTGTTTAAACAGTCCTGTAACTGTCTTCAAATATGTCATGAGAGGAGTTTGACTAGTTATCAGGGGACACAAGGGGCAAAAACATCCCTAGTATTTATTGGAAGAATCAAGAGTAACAGATTTCAGGTCAGTGTCAAGAGAACTTTTCAAGTGAGGTTTATCAAGGTGGAATGCGCGGCCCTGGGAAGCATGATGGTCTTCACGAGGGATACTTAAGTACTGACTGATCCATCACTCAGGGGCCATATTGGAGAAGAATTTCAGCTCTTCATGGAAGTTTGAGCATTATAATTTTCCAAGATTTTTCTGATTGAGACATAGAAACTCTGTAATTAAGAAAAAGTGGATTGTCATTTGAAGATATTAAAAAAGGGAAAAAGAAGGAGAAAGAGAAGGAAGAGGAAGGGAGGAGGAGGAAAGGAGGGGAAGAGAGAAAGGAGAAGCAGGAAGAAGGGTAGGAGGTGGGAAAGAGAAAGAGAAGGGAGGAAGAAAAGAAGGAGGAATGAAGAAAGAAAAAGGAGTGAAAGATGAGGAAGAGGAATAAGAAGGAAGCAAAAAGAGAAGAACAGGAAGAAGATGTGGAGGAAAACAAGAGGGGGAGGAGAAAAAAGAGGAAGAGAAGGAAAGGAGAGGAAGGAGGAAACAAAGGAGGAAGAAAAAAGGAGAAGTAGGAAGAGGAGCTCAAGGAGGATGAGAAAAGGGAGGAGGGGAAAGAGGAAGAGAAGGAAGAAAAGGGGATGAAGGAAGAGGGGAGGAAAAGGAGGAAGAGGAACAGGAGGAGGAGGAGGAGAAGGAGAAGGAGGAGGAGGAGGAGGAGGAGGAGGAACCCCTTCTGCCCAGTCCTTAACTTGAGCAATACCACTGAAAATCAGTACTGCTGATCCTTGTGGAATATAGTTTGTCAATTTCTTTCATTGGGCTTAACCAGAAAGATGTTTCCTAAGGTTGCTAAAATATGCTAAGAAGCAAAGGTGATGATAACTGAGAATAAGATAAAATGCTTGTATTTTCTACTCAGTTTAACAGAAATCATCAATAGCACTCATATCTATGTACTCTGAAAAGTTCCATGTAGAAATATTTTATTCAAGTAAGAACTACCAAACAGCCAATGTGTACCAGGCACTTAGCTTGACACTAGAGTTGTACTATCTAGGTAGAAGGAAAGGCATCCAAACAGGTAAGTTTAATCAAATTGGCAATGTTAGAAGTGAAAGAAGATGAAAATACAATTGCACCAGGGACACACTACCAACTGCTTGTAGGAAACTAGGCAATGTTTCCTGGTGGGAACTGTGAGGAACACGGGAAAGAAACCAAGTGCCACTGTGAATCTATATGGAAGGATCTGCAGACAGCAGGCAGGCACTGGGTATTATGGGGGTCCCTTTAAAGTTATCTCTGATTTTCTTAAGATATTTGAGAAATATGATTGGAATTTATTAAATATAATGTAGTTGACAGCACACTCTTAGGAATATCTGGTCAATGAAAACTCACATAAAAAATTATCAGCCCATCTTGTGTTCTTACAAACTCTGTCTCTTGCCTATAGGACAACATGAAGGTATTCTAGGAAAACCAAAGTCTGGCTGTGTTCTCTGCTTTTTGCCCTTTGTCCATTTTCTGAATAGAGTCTGGCACTCCAAATTTCCATGACTCCCTTCCTCCTTTTTACAACCAGGGATTATCCCTGATCTTACACATTGCAGGTGAATGCAGATTGAAATTGTAAAACAGGTTCGTGGGACAGATCTTTATAAATGGCTGACTCTTAGTCTCTAGTCAATTGCATAGAGGCACTGCAGTTGAGCTAAATATTTGTCAAATTAAGAGTGTTCCTTCAATTGCAAATGCACACACTGGGGGCCGGGGAGATGGCTCAGTAGAATAAGCACTTGCCTGACAAGCACACGGGCCTGAGTTCAATCCTCAGTTCGCCAAAAGAAAGAAAATATTAGCTTGAAATGACTGGAATCCAGCCAAAATCAAATGCATACACTTTTCATAAACATGATCTGCTTATTCACTGATTGCAATGAAAATTCTCTGACTATAATGAGAATTAGTGATGCAGGTAAATGAAGGGCTAAATAACTGACTAAACAGGCAATGACTGGGCAGGTGGGAGGTGCTGAGGGCAGCATGCCGCAGGAGGGTGAATAGGAGAACATGTCCGTGGGCTCCTGAGTGGCCACAGAAGCCTAGTGGTGGTCCCAATGGGTACACTTGTCTGAAGGTCAGTTTTTAATGCAGTGATGAACTGAAGAACATTTAGAGGACACTACTGAAAATGATGAAAACCTCTGAAGCTATTTAACAAGAAACAGGAAATTTAGAGGCCAATGGCATTACTGAAAAAATGCACAGTTCAAAGTTAGGGCAGGATGCTACCAGTTTGGTACATCAGATTCGATTTGATTCAATTTCCTACAGATTCTATTGTTACTCACTTGCTAATGAAGTCATTGAATTCTGCTGACCATAGCTCAGGCTGCCTTAGCTGTGGGGGTGGGTTCCTAGAAAAGAAGAATCAGGGTTGGATGGTGGCTACTGGTCAGTCAATACCACCCGAGAAGCACAGACAGACAGGCTGACGTACAGCTGCACCTGCAGGTGCTGCCATTACAATCCAATGCTGGCCCCAATTTCCAATTTGAAGAAAAAGAATTCGTAATGAATCACTCTTTACACAAAATGACAGGTTCCTTGATTTTCTGCAAGAATTTAATACATGGTTCAATTTTCCAATAGTTCATTTTTTTTTCTTTTAAAGAATCTTCTCACTTTTACCTGAGAACACTCAGGGAAACCATCAATACCTACCTAACTAGAAATAATGAATATTAGGATAAAGATTTTTTTCCCCCATACACCTTGCAGAAGTCTCAGGAATGCCAGGGTGCAAAGAGGTGAGCTGAAAGTTGAGTTGTTTGGAGTAGGCAGGAAACACCACTAAGAGGCACAGTAGAATAACTCTGTGATTGTTCTTTTGTTACTGTACATGGGAGGACAAAAGTATTACAAAGCACTACAAAAGCAAGGAACTGGAAATTATTATTAGCTATAAAGCTCTGAATGCCACTTAAGAAGATTTTATTATTAATTCTTTTCACTTTTAAGCTGAACAAATCTTTTCTTTCTTGGCCTGTCCATGAATACAAAGGAACATCACTTGAAAATGAGGCTGATCTAAAGCTGTAATCAAGCAACATTGATCAACCACGATAGCTGAATTCACTAAAGGGCTGCTTTATGTTCATTCTAACAGCTCTTTGTTTTCCTTAGTGGAATGGAAATGCTTTGTCTTCAGTTCTGCATTACTCCTTAAATAGCCGATGAAATTAATGTACAGTTTGTACAGGCTCGTTAAAAGGAAGTACAGCTACTCATCTACCCCAGATCACGACAAACCTCATTTTCCAAACCTCACGACTATTTGAAGATTGCTGATCTGCACATAAAAAGAAGTAATGCTTTTTGCCAACAGTCTCTGTTCCTTCTTCCCTAAAATTTTCCTTTTATGAGATTTTGAGTATAACAAAGTTTTGATGATTTCATAACACCTAGAATTGGGGAGCTTTTCAGATTCTGTGTACTTATTTCTATAGATAGTACTCTAAACATTCCCATTAGGGATATACTAATGAGAAATAATAAGGAATAATTTATTTGATTCAATTTCCAGAATTATTTGGCACCTTGCTTGCTATGCAAGGATGATGTATCAGTGTTTGTCATCCTTTTGCCTCTACATGGTACCAGAGCCAAGAGTAAAAGTACTAGGTTATGTACTGTGGTTCAAACCACAGCTAAAATGGCTCTGAAAGTACAGGGCTCATCTTACAAACTGCGTGATAACAGGAATGAGGAAAACCCAATTTTTTCCTGACTTCCTCAACTAAAATGAAATGCCTCAGAGCTGCTATACAGAACATTCCCCCTGGTTTCTGTAACCTCCTAACCTAACAAATAAGTACCACTGTATATTACAAATAGCAAAAACTGCGATGACACAAATTGTTTGGTAAAACACAATTTATATCTAAAGTATTATAATACAGAACATATTCACAGATAGAAAACTCAAGACTAAAAAAAAAACAAGTTATGTTAGGGTGAAAAAATAAGGTTCAGAAAGATGAAATATTCCACTTTTTCCCACTCAAGTGAGATCTGAAAAAGAAAAAACACAGAGCTAACATGAATGTAGAAAGGAAATTATCAGAGAAGAGGAACAGAATAAGGAGGAGAGAGGAGGAAGGGAAAGGAGAATGAAGGGGGGATGGGAGAGACCACTGAATGTTATAAGCACGTACCAATATGCCACCATTCTGTACAAATACTATGCTCTACTATAAAAAGAAAAAATAATATGGCCAGCAAATTACAGAAAAAACCACAAATGCTTTGGTGCTGTAATTTAGTTACGTGCCAAATATTTTGAATAGATCCATTTAGAAATGGATATAACATGTAGACACTTTGTAGAACTAGACCACTCCCCCTACTTCTAGCAAAGCTTTGTACTTCTGTGTCCTGATGCTGAGACCACAAGATGTGTTTAATGGACAGGGTATGAAGAAACCATAACATAGCCCCTACTCCGACCTGGGTCCCTGACTGCACATGCTCCATTGTGCACTCTATTAGAATTAAGGCAAAACCTTTAAAATTTTCAAAAATGACACCTGGATAATTAAGGACAGGCAACCTTTCCACATTCATTTTGTGAAATATCTACAACTAATCAACACATATATAACACCGTATTTAAAGAAACTAGTTATAACTTTGTTCTTGATGCACACACTAGAGGGGAGATGTCTGCTCCTAGGAAAAGTCTCACCTAGACAGTAATGTTCTTCCTTGCTTCAGAGGGCACTCTTCGGTATTACTTTACATGGATCCATTCAAAATGTTAACATATTTAAATCATTATTTATTCAATAAATTTAATTTATCATTTCTTGGTAATACAATTATTTTAAAGTTCTGAACAAAGAAAAGTCAGCAAGTAGTAAAAGAACATGTGGAATGGTGGGTGAAGAAAATCACAGCACACTGACCAAGAACCACACTGCCTCAAGAGAGGTTGAGGAGTAGGAGGAACTGCTACTTTCTGAGATGAAATCCTATCAAAAGAAACACTGACTACCAAGACATTTTTTTTTTACTTAGACCAGGGAAATGCAACTACTGAATGAATACAGTCTTGGGAGAAGCAGAGTATTCTTGGTTACTTTTACCAACTGGCCAGATCACATGTGAATACTTCCATGATGATCACGAGGAGAAATCAATGGCAGAAGCAAGAAAAATGGACAGCAGCCTCTGGGCTCAACTGTAATCTTCTGACCTTGGTATTTTGAAGAGTGCTCTCATGGGGTGCAGCTCAGCAAGTGGAGGATCACCATCTCCCAGCTCAATGGCAGTGATGCCCAGGGACCAAGTGTCACATCTGGCATCATAAGTGGTATCTAATTGTTGTTCACATGCAATCACCTATGAGAAAAAAACAAACAGAAAGGAAAGGTTTGTGATTTTAACAAGTAAACAGCAAAATGTTTGGAAGAAAACTTAAATATTTAACTGGTGAAGTTTGATAGCTGCAAGGAAAGACAAAGGCAATAATTTAGGAAAATAAGCAATCATGTTACTAGCAGAAGTACTATTTTTATTCTGAAAACAGAGAGTACCTTTCCAGGTTTGCAAATATAAAGGAAGGAGTCTACACAAAGGAATATTTTTGAAAATGGAAAACAAAAAAAGAGGAAATAAACAGGGTCCCATATGAGAAAGGATGGCATCAATGCACAGCCACAGATGGTACAGCCAGTCATTCAGTGAACACTTGATGTGGGAATGAGATACTACGAAGAGTGACAATACAGAATACTTCTTTGGGGTCAGGGAGATAGCTCAGCAGTGTAAGTCCTGCTTCGCAAGTGCAAGATCCCAAGTTCAATCCCCAGTACTGAAAGAAAAAAGAAAGAAAGAAAAGTTCATCTTTAGAGAATTAAAAAACCGTGGAAAGTAACTAAATTTGGATAGTTTGGTTAGAGGGCTTTGATCTTTACTGGCAATTAGAAGGCCAGAATTCCAACAGAAGAATGAATCAAGTCTACAAGACATGTAAGTATTTTGTACTCTGAATAACTATTATGAAGACAACAATATACAATGTATATTATTATTATTATTATTATTATTATTATTATTATTATTATTTTTGGCAGAACCAGGTATTGAACTCAGCCCTAGCACTTGCTAGGGAAGCTCTTATTCTACTGAGCCATCTCCCTGGCCCTACAATGTATCAATTATTATAACTGTCCTACTAACCTGTTTTGGAACTGTCTCATTGCTATTTCTTTCTCAAAATTTTTGAAAAAAAAATAAAAAAAGAATTTAAAAAATGAATCAAGTCTGGAAAGATACAAAAAGGTTTTAAGCTATTAACAATGATAAAAAGTAAACAATATAAATAACATTAAATTTAATACACTATATAATTATTGATTTTCAATAAAGTTAATGAGAAAAAATTTTTTTAAATGAACCTTAAAGAAAGCTTACCAACTGCTTATCTGGGTCATGCTAAATTATAAACTTATAGGCAGGTTTAAAAACATGCTACTAACTAAAGGATATAATTGAAAGACAAGAAAAGAAAAAGGATGTGATGTGTTTTTGCAAACTAAGATTATTAAACACAAAGTGATTGCCTTAATCACCCCATAATTAATTTCTAAATGTGTAAATACAAATATAAATGGCCTGTAAATGATCATTGTTAACATCAGTGATCAAAAAAAGGAAGTCAGCTTTACATTTCAAAAACATTTTTACTTGTCCAATAAGTTGTACAGTCACTGTTTCCCTTGAGCCCTGGAACACATGCACCACAGTTTGGAATAGACGGTGTCACATAACCAATAAATACTGTCTTTGATGCACACTTCAACTTTAAAATGCCAAATTGGGAATTTTACTTTTCTTTTTTTAAAAATTTATTTATTTATTTATTTATTTTTGGGAATTTTACTTTTCAACTGATAACTCACTTCAATAAGTTTGTCTTTTAGGGTAAGAAAAACACTGAAATACTTCTATGTCATTATGATATATATTCAATTTGCTTACCTATTGTCTTCTAATTCTTAGAAATATGTCATTAATAACATAGGGATAATATTCACAACATATTTGGGATATCCTGAAGCTACAAAGCTGGTTCAAAATACATTGTTCTTCAAGATTAGAAAGTATTCTTTACAGAGAGATGAGTACAATACACACAAAAGCTCAAGCATATATTTATATGATAGTTTAAATGACTATCATATAGCTTTTCCTCTCTATCATGTCCATTATTTTGGTAAGCAGGAAAGATGCTACTATAGGCTTGGCAATAACAAATAATGATTTATAAAAAAAAAAAAAAAAAAAAAAACCAGACAACTGCTAAGAGCCAGGCATGTAGCTCAGCAGCACAGCACCTGCCTAGCAAACACAAGGCCCGAGTTCAATTCTCGATACAAAAAACAAAACTGTCTAGTAACTGCATATAAGTGAGCGAATGGCACAGTTAAATACATGATAATGGCTTTGGAACTATAAATTCATCTATAGCAACATAAATCATGCTATTATGTTATAGTATAATTATATATGCTACTATTTATATTGATTAGTAATACATGTGGACATAATAAAATATTCAATATATAACTTTTAATTGATTGGTCATTTAAATAAGTTTTTTATGAATTTAAAAACAGTGAAATGGCTAAACAGTAAAAAGTCTCATTTGAATCATACTCAATTTTGTTTTTTTTTGAGTGCACTTCTATCTTTCTTCTAAAATGTGCTCCTTAATAAGTTTTTTAATCTGTTGGAACTGCAAAAGTGTTTCTTAAAATAATTCATCTCCATAGTTTATATTAAGCTTACATTTTAACTTTTATTTTATAAGCAGTAATTGAATCTTATTCAAATAGAGTATACAAGGATTTCATCTTCAAACAAATTTAATTAAAAGATTTTACAGTAATACTATGGCATTTGTATTGCTTCTCCTCCCTTTACTCCCTAGAAAATTGTAGCTAAATAGCAGAGGTTTTCCTGACTGCTGCAGTGAGAATTTTCAAAAATAAGCATTCGTTATTGATAAACATAATGAAAAAGACTAAAAGTATTAATAATGATTGTGAGTAGGAGAGGTGGCAGGGAAATGATGCAAAGAAGGTACTAAAGCTGAACACAGGCCCAGGCAGGTGCTCAGTAAAGGAGCCTGCCATACATATTGATGGACCTGCACCTGGTCCAAAACCGCCAAGGCTTCCTGTATTTCCACTGTCATTCAGAAACAGAATGGAAATACTCATGACATCGGCACATGCTAAATACCCCAAAGTAAATTTAATGAAAAAGTAAAACTGCAAGTAGTTTCTCTTTATGTCATCTAATTCACTCACTCATTCATTCATTCATTCATTCAATTTTTCACTTTTTTTATTAGCACATGTTTATGGTACATCCAATTCTCAGCCATCTTGGGGAATGAGTACATGAACATAATATGGCTTGTTTCTTTTTAAAATCCCCTTTCTTCCCACCCTTTCTTCTTTCCTTTCTCTAATTCCCATTTTCCCATTTTATTCTTGTTGATATTATTAATCTGGGCTCTTGTTTATGATTTATGTTTATTGCTCATGTGTAGGTAAATTGAAGTTCTTGTACATGGCATGTCTTTATTCTACTTGTTTCCCTTCTCTTCCCCATGGCTCCTCACAATTAGTCTCCTGAACCCTTTCCCATTTTTCAGAGATCCATCCCCTGGCCTCCTATGCATCCTTAATTAATCTCTTTGTTTGTATTTTGCCCTACTGAAATGAGAGACACCATATGGTATTCAAGTTTGTGTGGAGGGTTTATTTCACTCAACAGTGTATTTCCAGGTGCATCTGTTTTTCCTACAAATGTCTCAGACTTATTCTTCTTTAAGCCAGGAAGTATTCCACTACATATAGATTTTACATTTTCTTTAAACAATCATCTGTTGATGGGTACACAGGCTACTTTCAGATTTAGCTTTTATGAATTGTGCTGCTATCAAGACTGATATGCATGTATTGCTACGACATGATATCATATACTCTTTGGGAAAGATATTTAGAAAAAGGTAACGGGGTCACACAGAATTTCTAATTTATTGCTTTGAAAATTTTCATTCTTATTTTCATATGGTTGCATTAGCTTACATCCTCACCAAAAATAAAGGAGGGTCTTTTCACTAACATTTTTTAAAAATTTTATTTCTTGATGACTGCTATTCTTTCTGGAATAAGATGGAATCGTAGTATTACTGTTTATTTTCTGTAGAGGCCACAGATGTTGAACATTTTGCTCACATTTGGTGGCCAATTTTTGGTTGTATTTTCATGGAAAAAAATAAAATAAAATTTCAAAACAAAATAGGAGAATAATAATAGTTAATACATTATGTATTGTTATCCTCAAAGTTGTTTGCCATTTGTACTTTCTCTGTGATGTGCTTACTTCTCCTGCCCATTTCCTGACTGGATCTTTTAGGTGGTCTAAGTTTTTGAGTGGATCATCAGAACAGAACTGAGGATACAGAAGCACCCTGACACATTCAGCTATTTGGTCTGTGACAAAGGGGACAAAAGCAACAATAAAGGGGAAAAAATAGCCCCTTCAACAAGTGGTGCTGGGATCCAGGCAAGGCGGCACATGATCGCAGCGCTTGGGAGGCTACAGCAGGAGAATTGTTTCCAGTTGGAGACCAGCCTGGGCTACAAAGTGAGCTCCAGGCCAGCCTGAACTGCAGAGTGAGACCCTGTTTCAAAAAGACAGCAACAACAACAACAAACCCAAAATACAAAAACAAAAAAAGTCAAGTGGTGCTGGGAAAGGTAGTTATCCACTTCAGATGATGGAAAGTGTATCCGTATCTCTCACCATGTACTAAATTAAAATCAAAATGGATCAAAGAGCTGAACGTTGAAACAGAAACATTAAACCAACTGGAAGATAAAATAGGCAAAACACTGGGAGCTGTACACGTAGAAAAGCATTTTCTGTGCAGAATCACAAGAAATCACAGCAAGAATCAACACATAGGATTCCGTCAAAGGGGGAAACTTCTGTACAGCAAAAGAATCAAACAGCAGAATTTAGAGAGGACCTACAGAATGCGAAAAGATTTTGCAGCTGTTCCTGAGAGAGAGGACCATCTTCTTCTTTTCTTTGTATCCACTTACAGCTCATTCATTAAGCCTCTCTCATGTCCCTCCTTACATGTTCAAAAATCCCACCTTAACGTAACATTACGTATATTATCTTCTGATACATTCCAAAACCTTATGGGACAGAATACACATGAAAAGAAAGCCAGAAGTGAGCAAATACAGAAGCCTCTCCCCGAGGGCCCCATCTGACCTCAGGAGCCATCCAGAAGGGCGTTCCGACAGAGGTGTTGCGGCGGAGCTGGGTGCTGGTGAGCTGTGCAGACACACCTGCAAAGAAGGGCAAGACAGGTTCTCCTGTTAGTTTTTCATAGAATTTTAAAATGCTGCTCCCTCAGAGATGCCGATCGACTTGAAATTCACTCTGTCAAGAAGTAGGGGCTGGGGAGATAGCTCAGTTGAATAGGCGCTTTCCTTGCAAATGCAAGGGCCTGAGTTCAATCCCTGGTTCTGAAAAAAAAAAAAAAAAAAAAAAAAAGCTTAGGTGAGGACCTCTGTAGAGTCAAAATACTGAAGGTCCTCTATTTACTTTTCATATGCAAACCCTGCTGACTGCTAACATCCCAATTCAAATTTTAGTCCCCTATGCTGGCTTCTAATCTGTTCCCTGTCAGACTAAGGCCCATCTCCTTTGATGTTCTGCATTTATACTATTCGTCTAAACTGTATGACATATTTTGTCATGAAGCTGGTGTGCTTCTCCCCTGTACCCCTTTAACAAATTCTGGTAAATCTCAGATTATTTTGTGTGGTGATAAACACGCAGTAGGTAACTTATGAATATGCACAAAATTAGCTCCCATCTATCAACCACACACAAATCACACATAATCACTGAGAGTTTCAAATAACTACTTCTGTTTAAATCAACACCAATAATAGAGCTTTTCATTTTAAATCTTAAATTTGAGTTTAACTGATATATCAATAAAAATTTTACATACTTATGAAGCACCAAGTGGTATTTCTCTCTTTTCCTTCTATCTCTATAAAATATATATTGTACACTATATTATACATAACAATATATATTGAAGGGCTGCAGGACAGCCAACATTTTGGCCCTAGCCTTTCAAGGTTAGTGAAGACTCAGGACATAGGAGAACCTGTACTGTAACATTATGTAACTCAGTTGTGTCTCAAATTTTCTGATCAAGGAGATTATGGGGCCACAGAGGAAAGTGATCGATGATATAAAGTGTGCCTCAGGAGAGTCACATGGAGAGAGAACATTCTCTCAGGCTTCCATAGAGAGCAATCTGGTCAATCAATGGCTGTGACTCATCCACATGGCTGACACAGACAAAGGATCTACAAAGTGCAGTACAGGGTTACAGGATTAAATCCTGAGGGGATTTGACTGACCTTATCAGATACAAAAGTTACATTTCTTGTTATATAGGTCTTGCTTTATCTTGGTCTTAACCATCCGGCAGAAAAGTATAAAAATAAAGTATAAAATGTAAAGCCATATTAATATGCTGAGCTGTAAAAGACTCAAGTCAACAACTTCTGACATTGCCAGTCTTATGGAAAGCCCACTATTATTCATGGAGTACTGGACTATATTGGAATATTTTGCTGAATTCGTGCACCTACAATATTTAAATGCAATGCAATGCCCTTCTCTGACAAAATAACTGAAAAAGGGGGATACAAATGAATGATCATTTTGTATCTGTATACTGAAAATAGTTAGGATATATATATATATAGCTGCATTCTCTTAATTCAATGAATAAAGAGATTTGTTCTAATAGTGTTTGTGGACAGGATATCATGTCTGCATCTTGTACAATGAATAAGTACTAAGATGACAATATGCAATGTATTGATTATTGAAACTGTGCTAGTAATCAGTTTTGAAACTGTCTCATTGCTATTTGTTTCTCAATAAAATTATTTTAAAAAATCACTAATTTTACATGTACAGATTTAAGATTTTAAAATTTCTATATCAGTTACTTTTTTCTTTGCTTAAATTGTTATCATCATCATCATTATCATTAGTTTTTGGTGCTGGGGATTGAACTCAGGACCTTGTGCTTGCCAGGCAGGGACTTAGGTAACTGAGCTAACTCCCCAGCCCTCTTTGCTTTAATTATTTAAAAAACAATAATTTACTGGCAATCCTAGTGGAAAAATTGTCTAAATGCGCAACAGCAGTATTAAGGGGAAAAGTAGAATGATACATAGTTTCATGATACAATAGTTATGATTATGAATATTTTATACTTTGCTTATTTTTTTCCTATGCATAGTTCCATGTCTTATTTTTAAACTAAGAGTTACACTTCATGCTTTTGTTATTTTTATTTAATACTTCTAAGTTAATTTGCTTTAGAAAAGGTAAAAATATTCTAGATAAGGTAAAAACTACTTGGTCGTTCAGCAATTCGGTCATTCAGGAAACCAGTGCTGCTACTTTATGGCAGGCAGTGCCTAATACAGAAATTTTAGAGAAAAGCACCATTGAAAAAGTAGCTTATATATTTTGGAGTTGATTTTAGAGCTGTGATAAACTGTCATTTAATTTGACTCATAGTGTTGAACAAACAGTACATTATTTTTCATTGGTATCAAAATCCTTGGTTCTAGATTTATAAAATCAATAAATAAAACTAAAAAAAAAGAAAATAACAAGTATGGAGAAAATCAAAGAACTCTCAAATTATTCTGTTGTTTCAAAAATAATCTAAGATAAATGCTGATTTGTTTCATTTATAAAAAAGAATATATATTATATAAAATAATATATATTATAATTTTTAAATGAGGGTAACTATATCTCCACAAAGATTAAGCATTTCATTATGATGGAAATATTCAAAATAATTTCCTCCAGCTTTCTAAAATGTACCTCTATTTATTATCTATCCACCCTGGTACACAATAGCACACCAGAACTTTTTATTTATAAATCATATCTAACTAGAATCGGTTGTTTTCCTTAGGACAGATTTAAACCTAATAATTTAGTATTTTCCCTATGGACTATAGGCAATATGATTAAATTTGGATTTAATGGTAGTGACAGAGTACAGTAATTTTTATATAAATGGAAAAGGTAAACAGATTTTAAAGGAAAATTTAGTTTAGAATTGGTTCTTAATTTTCTAAATTTATTTGGAGTTTTCAATAATTTATATAATTTTAAATTATATTTGACCCTCAGTGAATATTTTTGCTTCAATTTTATGATGATAACTATGGAGACAACAATATGCAATGTATTAATTATTGAAACTGTCCTACTAATAGGTTTTGAAACTGTCTCATTGCTATTTGTTTCTCAATAATATTAATAAAAAAATTCATGACAGTTTCAGATTCAAATGTCATTTACATAAGATATACAGAGAAAAATAAAATACAACAAAGTAAATTGTAGGATTTCCTTCTAGCAGGAAAATAACATTTTAGACTAAATAAATTTTTCTCTTTCTGGGTATAAAGCAAATGTTATATTACTAGCATTAGCATTTTTCAGCAAGTAGTAATATTCCAGAGTCAGAATTTATAAACATGATAAGCTGCGAAGGACCTTCTGCCCATGGTCCCCTGGAAATACTTACCAAAGGACACTGATGAAATACTTTTAGGGGAGTGGTGTATAACCCACAGTGGACTGCCAGGCTGTTTTTCTTGGAAATGTGAATCTGGTGCGGAGGCACTCAGGGAAGGAACATAACTAGAGCTGAGTCAACCAACAGAGAGGCCCTGACTGTCAATGAGGAGGGCTTACTCTCCAGCCCTGATGCTGCCACGCTGCACTCCTAGGAGATCAGATGGCCAGGTTCACCCTTGATTTTGTTAGCTGACCTGTGTTTTTTTCAATACCTTGGGCTAAGTTGGCCAGAGTTAGTTTCTGTTAAGACCAAAGAACTCATAACTATAAAGTCCCTGAACTTTTATACCTAAAATAGCAAATTAACAAGGGCAATAGTTAATCATGAACTTATAGAGCCTAACAGTAGCATTATATTTATGAGATTATATATTTATGCTAATGTAAGATTAATAATTTTCTAAGGCAGACATTTGGCTTCCAAGATCTTTACTCAAACACTCTATTTTTAATTTATATTTATTTATTTATTTATTTATTTATTTATTTTTGGCAACTCATACAGAATTTTACTTAACAAAGTAATATGAATTTCACAGTATTTGTTGTAATACATGGTATTGTCTTATAACCAGCTATTCATATTACCATATATACACATAAAATTGGAAGAAGAAAAAACTGGAGCAATGTATAAGAAATTAAAAAAAGAAAAAGTACAAACAATTGAAAAAAAAGGAGACAAAGCTAATTAGAGCATTAACTGCTTCCTTCTATTTCCATTTTTGTTTCTTTTTAAAAAAATATTTATTTATTTATTTATTTATTTATTTTATCCTGTCAGAGGTGAATATTCTATTGGCATCTAAATACTATAAGCGTTTGAATTCAACTAAACATCTAATACTATCTAGCAGTCTATAATATTAGTGGGTTATCCTCAGAAGTTATTGACTTGAGCCTTTTACAGCTCATCGTATTAATATGGATTTACTTTATATACCTCATTTTTATACTTTTCTACTGGATGGTTAAGATCAAGAAGTAGCAAGACCTATATACCCAGAATTGTAACTTTTGTATCTGATAAGGTCAGCCAAGTACTCTCGGGATTTATCCTGCAGCCCTGTACCACCTTTTGTACATCCTTTTGTCAGTGTCTGACATGAGGATGAGTCACGGCCATTGCTTGACCAATTTACTCTCTGTGAAAGCTTGAGAAAATGTTTTTTTCTCTCCATGTGACTCTCCCCATGTTCACTTTAGATCCTCGAACACATTTCTCTGTGGCTCCATAATCTTGATCAGAAAATTTGGAGTACAACTGAGTTACATGTTGTTATAGTACAGGTTCTCCTATGTCCCGAGTCTTCACTGACCTTGAAAGACTAGAGCCAAAATGTTGGCTAACCATGCAGCCCTTCCTTTTCTCCAAATTTTGATCTGCTAACTTAGGTTATTAACCCTCCCGAAGAGAAGCTAATTATTAACCTGCAATATATGCAGTGCGGTTTATCCTATCTGTAGAAATATCAAACATTTTGGCATATCCTGGAACAGGTATTTTCCATCAGATATTGATATGTTGAGCTTTAAGTCTTTACAGAATATGAAGGAAAAATAATTATATAAAGGAGAAATAAGCATTTACATATTTTTACAAAGAAGTTTAGAAACCTAGTCATATATGGAATTGTAAGTC